ATACAACACCTTCCCTCCTGTGTGGCCATTACCATCGCCTTGGGGGTGGGCTCCGCCAGAAGCAGACAAAGTACAAGTGCAAGTAGCTTACATGGGGGTGACCCAGGAAGCCCCATGGGGTGGGGCAATGACTGAAGTGCACCCCCTTGGCACTGTGTGGGGTCAGAGAAGGCTCAGAGTCCCAGGAGCTGGTGCCTGGGGACCTCAGGCTGGTGTGCTGGGAGTCTGTGAGAGCTGAAGGTACACAGTCAGGGCACCCACAGCATGCCCTTCGGCCCCCACACTGACCAGGAGTCAGAGACTAGACTGTGTCCACCCTTCTCCCTCACCCATGTGTGGAAGCCCAAATTTGCCATGGGACTGTATTTGGAGATAGGTAATAAAGGTTAAATACAGTCATAGGGCAAGGTTCTTATCCAATAGACACCAGAGCTCACTGTCTGCACATACACAGAAAAGAGGCTGCGGGACGATGGAGTGAGCTCTGGAGCCGTGGAGACTAGTCTCACCAGAAACCGATGCTGAGGACAACTTGATCTGGACTTCCAGCCCCCAGAACTGTAAGAAAATGAGTTTGTTGTTTCCATCCCCCAGCCTATGGCATTTTTAAATGGCATCCTTAGAAAAGTATAAAACCACAGGCTTCATCTCAGCTCAGGTCTTGGTCTCAGGGTTGTGGGTTCAAGCCCGGTGTTGGGCTCCACCCTAGGTATGAAACCTACTTTAAAAAAACGGAATTCTTCTTTGTTTCTGAACTGGGGCATTTTGTTCATTTACACGTAATGCAATTATCCATATATTTGGCTTTAAACCCACCGTCTTATTATGTGGGCTTGTATTATCCCACTGGGTCCATGTTTTTTACTCTCTTGCCTTCTTTGGGGTTAATTTTTGCTTCTTTTTCAAAAATTTTTATTAAGCTTTTTTTTTTAAAGTATTTATTTTGAGAGAGAGTGAGCAGGGGAAGGACAGAGAGGGAGAGAAAATCGTAAGCACACTCTGTACTGCCAGGACGGAGCCCCATGTGGGGCTCGAACTCACAAACCGTGAGATCATGCCCGGAACCAAAACCAAGACTCAGAAGCTAGACTGACCGAGCCACCCAGGTGCCCCTACTTTTTCCTTCTATTAATAGGAAAGTTATGGGACGCCTGGTGGTTCAGTCACTTAAGTGTCTGACTTCAGCTCAAGTCATGATCTCCCAGTTTGTGAGCTTGACCCCCACATCGGGCTCTGCGGTGACAGTGTGGAACCTGCTTGGAATTCATTCTCCCTCTCTCTCTTTCTCTCTCTCTGTCCCTCCTCTGCTTGTGTTCTCTCTCTCTCAAAATAAATAAGTAAACTTTAAAAAAAAAAAAAGGAAAGTTACAAATTGTAAGGGTTAAATTGTAGTGTAGGGCTAACCTGTAGCCTGAAGAAATAACAGCTTTGTTTTAACACTGTAGATTAAGATAACAGCTTTGTCCTATCAATCAAGGGAACAAAAGTTTAAGGAAAATCAACTGGTTTAGTGTTTGGATTGGGGCAAGGGCATGTCTGAACTGTTTCCACCCCCATCTGGGAATTATTTCTTTGTTCTATCCCCAGGTGATGATAAGATGATGTGGTCAGCTATAAAAACTCTGTACCCCGGTTGTTTGAGACCGCACTCTGGTCAAGAGTGTCGGTCCCGATCGGTTGGCCTTGCCTCTCATTGTAATAAACTGTCACTGGTGCCCGTAGCATTCTGTTTCAGAAGTCGTGTGGATGCAACACAAATTCTCTATTTTTTAGTGCTTACTCTAGAAATTATAATATGAACATATAATTTATCAAAGACTAAAAGTAATCATTACCTTCACGTTTTTTTAAAGGTTTTATTTTTAAGTCACCCATCCACCCAACATAGGGCTTGAACTTGCAACCCTGAGATTGATAGTTGCACTCGCCACTGACGGAGCCAGCCAGGTGCCCCTCCTTTACCTTTACTCTTGAACAAACAACACAAACACCTTACAACAATTTACTCTTTTTTTAAATGTTTATTCATTTTTGATAGAGAGAGAGACACAGAGCACGAGCAGGGGAGGGGCAGAGAGAGAGGGAGACACAGAATCAGAAGCAGACTCCAGGCTCTGAGCTGTCAGCACAGACATGCTCAACCGCCTGAGCCACCCAGGTGCCCCGAACCTTTTAAATGAAAATGTAAAATTCAACTGTTTTAAAAATTCTCTCATTTTGTCATACAAGACTCAGTGTTATTTTATACAATTAGATTTTCTCACTTATGTACCACTTTCTTTGCTCTGTGCTCCTTCTTAGATTTTGGCTTTACAACCTGTGATCACTTTTCTTTTGGCTGAAAAGCATCCTTTTGGCTTTCCTTTGGGAGGGTCCTCCTGGTAGAAAATTGCATCACTAGAAATAAAAGCAAATGGTCTTCAGTCTGAATAATGTCTTTTTCTTTGCTTTTATGGGGGGGAGGGGCAGTAGGAGAGAGAGAGAGAGAGAGAGAGAGAGAGAGAGAGAGAGAGAGAGAGAATCCCAAGTAGGCTCCATGCTCAGCACAGAGCCCAACGACCCTGAGATCATGACCTGAGCTGAAATCAAGAGTCGGAAGGTCAGCTGCCTGAGCCACCCAGGAGCCCCAGTCTGAATCATATCTTAAAGTTCTAAGTGTTAAGTCCCACAGACTTGTAAACTTGTGAAATTATGCCCCTCTGTTTTTCATGTGTGTTTCCCATGACTGCATGGCTGGCGTGAGAGTCTGGTCCTCTCCCCTTTCCATGCACCTGTGTCTCTCCCTCCTGAGGAGAGTCCCTAGTTCCAAAGGGCTCCCAACTGTGTCTCCTTCCTTCCTACCCTCTTCCATGTGGCCTCTTCTCTACATTTAGCTATGGAGAGTCTGTTCTGCCATCTTCGGGCCATCTTCTGGGTTTTTTACACTGATGTGCGTGTTATTTAGCTGTCTCTGTGGGACAAGGTGAGTCTAACGTCTTCCTACTCTGCCATCTTCCCAAGCAATGTCTTTACTTCATTTTCATTCTTGAAAACTTATTTTCCCTGGGCAGTTATACTCTTTTGGTGACAATTATTCCACTACCTTTTTGGCTTCCAGTATTAGTGTTGGGAAACCAAACATTAATCATTTCATAGCAATCTGGGGGCACCTGGGTGGCTCAGTGGGTTAAATGTCCGACTTCGGCTCAGGTCATAATCTCACAGCTTGTGAGTTCCAGCCACCCACGTCCGGCTCTGTGCTGACAACTCAGAGCCTGGAGCCTGCTTCAGATTCTGTGTCTCCCTCTCTCTCTGCCCCTCCCCCGCTTGCACTCTCTGTCTCTGTCTCAAAAATAAATAAACATTAAAAATAAAAGCAATCTGACATTTCTTGCTGGCTACACTGGAGACTTCCCATGCCTTTGGTGGCCTGCAATTTCCCTGTTACTTGCCTATATGTGAACTTTTAGTTTATCCAGGTTAAGATTTGGGGGGAACTTGGATCTGATGGTTGGTGTATTTTATCAGTTCTAGAAAATTCTCAGCCATTTTCTATTCAGTTATAGCCTGTTTCTTTCCCCTTTTCTGGAACTCCAGTTAAATGTCTACCATTTTCCATGTCTCTTATCTTGCCTGTAATTTCCCTGTTTGTCTCCTTGTGACACATTCTTCATGACTTCTGACATCTTCCAGTTTACCAATTCTCTCATCTAAGCTGCTAAATCGGCCCAGGAGCCTTTAACATTTTAATTTAATGTAGTTGATGTAATTAATTAAATAAATTGATAGGGGGGTGCCGGGGAGGGGGGGTTGCAGGGGAGCTGTGGCACCTGGCACTACTTATCAACTGCAGACCCAGCATGAGGAGAAGCAGGTGGACAGTACTTACCCAGCAACAGGAAGGTTTCCTGCTGCTCCAGCAACAGCCCAGCCAATGAGAGAGCATCACACTTCCCCCTTTCCTCTATTTATTTATATTTTAATAATAAAGCCTATAACATGGGCATAGAACATAAATACATACAAATTAAATAGATTATGTGCATCAGTTAAGTTGATTAGCATTTAGTTGACCAACAAATAAGAGACTAAACTGGACTAGTTCTTGGTTTGATAGCCTCAAGTAGAAAACAGTATTTAAGACACAAGGGAATACACACAGTAACATACCCAGTCTTGTCGTTCCCGCAGAGGCATCACATGTTGACAAACTATTGTAGACTTTGGAGCCACTTGTACTGCAAATATATCAGGTCCTCTATTGTTTATGCAGTTTTTACTTAATTTATTGTTGCTGCGAATAATGACTTCACCGTCTGACTTGTGTCCAGCACCTGGTGTCACCAGCACCTGGTGTCATCCATGTGTCTCGCTTACAGCTCCCTCTCCTCTCCCCGTTCTCCAGACTTGCCCCTGGTTCTGGCAAGTCTACTTACCCTGCCAAGCAAGTCTCTGCTATTCCCAAATAATCCCATCTTTGCTGGTAAAATAACTGTTTTATTATTTTTTTATTACTTTTAAGGTTAACAGAGCCCACCCTTAAAACTAACCTCTCTTTCCGGGTACATATCCTGTCCCCTCTCCTCTGGAGAACCTCAACTAATACAGGAAGCAAAGCTGACTCCGATCTCTCTTCTAGCTGGGGAGACGGAGGCTAACCGACAATCAGGTGTTTGAGCAGGTATAGAAGACAATCTCTCCTAAAACGGACACGGCGGGCGGAAGGGGGAGCTCTCTCGCCTACCACCAGTTATCAACTTCACAACCCCCGGAAGAGACCCGCTGCTCCTCAGCGTTCTAGAGGCCCGGTCCCGCCCCTCAGCGTCTCACCCAATTGCCGGGTGTCCTGGCGGCCCGGTCCCGCCTCTCAGCATCTCACCCAGTTCCCGTGGTGTCTCACCCAATCCCTGGGAGCTCTTGCGGCTCGATCCCGCCCCTCCCACACCTCACCCAATCACTGTGCGTCTCTGCCGCTAGCTTTCCCCCAACCTGAGGCAGTCGGCCACCGCGCTTCGTTGAACATGGAGGCTCTGCTGAGGCGGGAGCTGGGCTGCGACTTCGTCAAGGCTACGGGTCACTCGGGGGGCGGGTGCATTAGCCAGGGCCAGAGTTACGACACGGACAGAGGACGCGTGTTTGTGAAAGTGAACTCCAAGGCGGAGGTCAGGGCCGCCGTGGGCGGGGCCGGGGTGGGTGGGTGGTGGTCGGCGATTGGGGTCTGGGTGGGGCTGCAGGCCCGGGGCGGGATCTGGGGTCCTGGTCCCGAGTCTAGGGGGTCGGAGGTCCGCGATTCGGGGTCTGGCGTGGGGGTGGGGGCCGCACAGGAGGGCCACAGGGTGGTGGTCCTTGGTGAAGCCCTTGCCCGTCATGGCTGCGTCTGGGCGATCCTGGGGTCGTGTACCCGGAATCCGTCCTGTCAGCCCTGGGCAGGTTAGCGGACCCTGTAGGCAGCCCTCTGGGGACCCCTGCGCCCAGGTTTGCTCCCTGCTGTGGTGTGGGTGGTCGGTGCTGGGGATGGTTTTCCAGTGATGCCTGCGGCCGCTCCTTTGAGAAAGTCCCCTGTTTGGGGAGTTTTGAACAAGGGCTGGTAGTAGAAGCCTCTCTCGTCCTGGGACCTTTCTGAATTACCGAAGATAACGTAGCCACCGCCTCGGTCATTGGGGCGCGCGGGGTAACGGAGAGCACAGAGCGGACAGCTTGAGAGCGGACGGCTCTTCTCCCCTCTGGGCGCTGGAAGGTGTCTGGTGACAGCCCACTTCGTGATGGGGAAGGGGACTTCTCCCTGTGTCCGCACCTGTCACATGGGCAAGGGAGCCCTCTGGGGCCTCTTTCCTAAGAGCCCTGGTCCCAGTATGAGGGATCCAGCCACATGGAGCCTGATCGCCTTCTAACACCGTCACATTGCGGGTGTCAACATAGGCCTGGGGGACGGGCCACCCACTCCGAAAACTTCTGTTCCTGCAGGAACTTGGAGAGGGCCCTGTGGAAAGTAGGTGAATCTCACTGCTGCTGACCTTGTGCTTCCCCCTGGGTGTTGGTGTCACCTCGCTGCCCAGTCTGGGTGGGTCACCCCAGGACTCTCCTCTGGAAGGCCCAGGCTGGCTCCCGTAGGCAATGGGCGGGATCAGGCAATGCCTTGTTGCAAACAGGGCTGCAGGGACTGACCCCAGGACCAGGGCCGCGTATCGCACACCTGGCTTGCTTTCGTTCACTCCTGCAGGTGTTTTCATTTTCTTCCCGGGTGCGCGTCGCACCCTCCGTGGTTGGGGATGATTTCTCTCTGATGCGCTGCTCTCCTAGACCAGCCTTCAGCCCTTTGTTGTGGGGAGATCAGCTGTGCCCAGTGCTGCGTCCTTTCAGGGATTTGTCAGCGTTTGTGCTTGGAGTGCCTTCACGCGGTCCTAGTGTGGGTGCTGTCCCTCCCCACGTCCTGCTGCGGGGGCTTCTCCGGTGCGTGTTCTTCCCGTTTATAAGGCATGTTTGTGTTTGGACCTTGCTGGCATTTGTTACAATTCAAGACTGTGTTTGTTAGAGGGGAAGCAAATACTTTCTGATGATGACAGTAGGTCCACTTAGTGACACTTTTCAAGCCTTGTTCTGCTGGTGCTATTTCTTCAGGTTCTTCTTTTGTCATCAAAGTCCATCTCCTTTCTTTTTTTATTTTTATATTAAGATTTTATATTTAAGTAATCTCTACGCCCGACGTGGGGCTCGAACTCACAACCCCAAGATTGAGTCGCACGCTCCACTGACCAGGCCAGCTGTGAGCACCCCAAATCCGTTTTTCTTTTTGCCAATCTTCCTCACATAAGTTCCTTGTCCTTTGGTAGATAGTTCCAAATTTCTAGCTTGCTTTGAAAATACTATGTGAGTTATGCAGATGTGCTGGCCGTAGCATAGACATCTGCCTGTCGTATGGGAAACAGGACTTTGTACTGCTTTACCTTGTAGGAGGTGAAAATACCTTCCAACCCTTCCGGGAGGAGACTGCACCATCGCTCTTCTCTTTTCCTTCTCACCCCGCTTGAATTGACCGCTCTAAATAAGACTATTCGTCTCTGTCTTGCCTAATTGCATGCTGGGTTCCTCCCCTCCTCCTCCCTTAAGCTCCAGATCTTTTGTGTAGGCCTACCCACACCTGCTGCCTACTTCTCCCTCCCTCGAGGAGCAGCAGACACTTCTCTGAGGGAGGCTTCGCCTCTGGCTATGTTCACAGATCCCCCTGCACCTCTCCCCAGGTGATTATTGTTTTTATTCTACGCCTTACTCTCCTTTTCACGACCAGTGCTCTAGTACAAAGTGCAGCCGGGGCCCAGTCGTTTTGCCTTTATTTCCTAAAGAGAACGTTTGGAAAATTCTCAAGGCACAGCTCTTATCTTCCTCCTCGGTAGAAGGTAGTATGATAATAGCACCGTTTATAAAGTGTTTGGAATGGGCCTAGTAAGTGTTGGCTGCTAACTCAGTTACTTATGGCCTGTGAGATTGGTACTGTTTTTGACCCCGTTTTTACACGTGCGGAAACAGGCACAGAGACTCTAAGTAACTTGGCTGAGGTCACAGAGTCAGTGCTGACAATAAGTAGCCCCATGCTGGAAGCCCAGCTGTCTGTCCCCAGTATGCTGGGTGAGCCCATTCCAGAATGTTCGCGCTGTGGAGCTCTGTGCAGCAGTGAGAATAACCTCTGTTGATGCAGCAGCATAACAAAGGCAGTGAGACATAGAAGCCAGACTGTCTGCCTCTGCATGCAGAAGGACAGAGCAGACGAGGCAAATCTGTGTGGAGCAGGCGGCTGCGGGCTGTGGAGCCTCCGGGCAGCGGTCACACCACGTCTGGACTTACTGAGAATTGGACTCAGATGCTCCCGCTCGTGCCCTTTTCTGCTCATGCTTGTGTGCATTTTGACTTGAAATAAAAGCAACTTTAAAGGGAGTGGTGGGGCGCCTAGGTGGCTCAGTCAGTCACACGTCCGACTCGACTTTGGCTCAGGTCATGATCTCACGGTTTGTGAGTTCGAGCCCCGCATCCGGCTCTGTGCTGACAGTGGAACCTGCTTGGGATTCTCTCTCTCCCTCTCTTTCTGCCCCTCCCCTACTTGTGCTCGCATGCTCTAGCAAAATAAAAAACAAACAAACAAACAACTTTTGAAGGGAATAGTTACCTAGTGTGGGAAGTTAGGGCAGATTTTTCTGAGAAGTCAGAACATCTTAAGATCTGAAGCGTGGTGATGAAGGGTCTGACCTGGCAAAAGGTAGGAGTGGTGTTCCAAGCAGACGTGCCCCTGCACTTTGAAGCTTCGATCTTTGGGCAACTAAAAGAAGGCTGTAACCCAGGGCACAGGGATGTGTGTGCATGTGCGGTGTGTGCACAGCGGTATATGGAGGTATGGGGTGGGGCCTGGGGAAGGGGCCCCAGATGAGCATAGGAAAGTGGCTGGGGCCAGATCCCAGCTGCTGTGGTGCAAGTTGCTAGCTCAGGGTGTGTTCCAGGGTGGGATTTGCCTTCGGTAAGGGCCCCTGCCGTGGTCGGCCAGAAGACGAAGTAAGGATGGTTGCTGCAGTCTGGGGGAGAGGATGGACGTGGTGCTCTAGTTGGGATGTCTTCCTGGGCGAGGTGGGAGGTGCCCTCAGACCCAGTGAGAGGTGGCCCCTGGTTCCTGGCCTGTGCAGGTGGACGGTCTGGTGGGACAGGACTGCGGGTGAGGTGCTGTCTGACGATGGCCCACGTACACAGTCTGGCTCCACACTAGGCGCTCAGTGGAATGTGAGAGGCCTTTCACTTCCCTCCCAGGAGAGACTCACGGGAGTGCAGATTAGGGTCCAGAATGAGGAAGTATCGTCGCTCTTACCCCCGTGCAGCTTCAGAGCGTGTAATCCACTCTGCCGAAAAGCTAGAAAAGCTGCCTGTGTCTGCTGAGTCTGCAGTCAGGACAGCCTTGGACTGAAATTGTAATGCTCGTGGGGTGCCGGTGCCAGTGGGGCTCGGTCGGTTAAGTGTCTGCCTTCCGCTCAGGTCATGATCTCACTGTTTGTGAGTTCAAGCCCCGCATGGGGCTCTGTACTGACAGCTTGGAGCCTGGAGCCTGCGTGGGACCCTGTGTCCCTCTCTCTCTGCCCCTCCCCTGCTCATACGTGCATGTGCACCAACGTGCTCTCTCGCTCGCCTGCTCTCAAAAATAAGTAAATGTTAAAAAAACGTTAAAAAGAAATTGTAATGCTCAAGAAAACATGTCCAAGTAGAACCTTTCCGGAAGTAATCTTGCTCTCCCTTCTCTTCCCCATCTCCGTTATTTTTCGGAAAGGCCAAGAGAATGTTTGAAGGTGAGATGGCAAGTCTAATGGCCATCCTGAGAACGGGCACAGTGAAAGCGCCCAAGCCCATCAAGGTCCTCGACGCCCCGGGAGGCGGCAGCATGCTGGTGATGGAGCATTTGGACATGCGCTATCTGAGCAGGTCTGTCTTGGCACCTTCTCCTTTGGTTGTCTTTGTTTTCTTTCCGAGGGGTTCCTTACCTGAAAGCTTGCATCTGGGGGTGTAATTTTGAGGAACCCATGACCTCACACATCATGGGTTCTGCAGAGAGTGACACACACTCCGCACGCCAAAGGCAAACGGGAAAGGGATCTCCCCAGGTGAGACGCTGACAACCCAGCAGCCACGGAAACGCTGGGAGAGACCATCAAACAGCCAGGGTCCTTCTTGTCCCCTTTGCTCCACCAAAGCAGACGTCCTGTCCCCTGACCTGCTTTATGTGGCCTGAGACTACGGGTGGCTGTGTCCCCGTGTTTGTGTGCCACACACTTAGCTGATGCTGTTTGTTTCACAGTCATGCTGCAAAGCTTGGAGCCCAGCTCGCAGACCTGCATCTAGAGAACAAGAGGCTTGGGGAGATGCTCCAGAAGGAGGCCGGCACCGTGGGTATGGGGCTGCGCGAGTGCAAGGGCCCCTCAAGGACATTTGGCCAGCGTGGGAGCGTGGGTGCGTGGGTGGGGTCCTGCCACGGCTGAAGGAGGGTCAGGTCTGTGTTGATGGCAAAGGAAAGGAGCGTCAACCCCAGGGCCACGTGTCTGGGGTGCCTGTCCTGTGTCACAGTGCATTTGGAAGGGAAGCATGTCCTGGACTTGAAACCCCGTCATGTTTGGTTCCTTTCACCCTCATTCCCCAGAAGAAAGCCCGTCAAGGTTGCCCTGGCTTTCTGTGTGGTGCCTCTTCTAAGAATAGCCACACGTGAGGCACAGCATGGCAGCCCTCACATCGACATTTCTACAGCTTAGTGTTAGCACTGAGAGTATCTTCCAGTACTTTTATCCTTTGGCACGTGATAATCCATGTGCAGCCCACGGGGTCACTGTGCTAACAGAGTGGCCGACACACCAGGGACAGGTGGCCGAGAATCTGCTGTGTTAGACCCTGTCAGATTCCGCCCACCCCTTCCAAGCCACATGTAGTTCAGGCCTTTGGGGTTTGCTCTGAGTTTGGGGGAGACGCAGAGGATGCAAAGGAGGCCAGTTCAGATCCCCGCAGTTTATTCTTCTCACGTGCAAGAGCTGGGCTGGCCCCTGAGAGCCCTCCTCTCCTGCTGGGTCCAGGCAGGTGGTTTTCCTCCTTTTCAGGCAGTGTTGTGCCTGCGCTTAGCGCTCAGCGCCCTCTGGTGCCTCTCCCGGCCGTAGTTGAGTGTATTGGAGCAGGCTCTGTTCCTGGGTCCTGGGGGTCTGTGCAGACCCAGGCCCTGCTCTGTCTCTAGACGGGGCGTGGGGGAAGGGCACACTCAGGACAGGCCTCAATGCCCTGAACCCCGCGAGCAGCCCGAAGGAGCGTGGGAACTAGTCATCCTTCTTGTTTTCCTTTTGCAAGGGAAAGGAGGCGGGCGGGCAGAACGGCCCTTCGTGGACCAGTTCGGGTTTGACGTGGTGACATGCTGTGGGTACCTTCCCCAGGTGAGCGACACCGGTCCTTTGCTCCGTGTTCCAGGCAGGTCAGCCGCTCAGGAAAAGAACACCCTCCCCCTTCCTTATGAAGTTTGGTTTAAAGTCTTTGCTCCCTTTTTTCTTTGCTAATTTTTAAGAGGCTGGCATGAGGTTTACACACCTCATGTGCTAGATAAGCTGAGAGAAACAGGACCAGCAAGTCAGGATGCTGGGTGTCAAGGTGGGTAAAACTTAGGAATTAAGGAAAATTTCCTTGATACTAAACCCTCAACGATAGCACGATGCACAGGGATTGTACCTTCCGGTTTTATGATTTTGTGGTTGACTCCCCGGGAATTTCAGTCCAGGGGCTCCACTTGATGCCCAGCACATGCTGGGTGCGGAGGACAGTGGCTGTGCTCTTGGAGGAAGCTGCGGCTTCTCTGAAGAGGAATACTGAGTGACCTGGAAGACTTTCAGGGGCTCCCTGATGTGCGCGGGGGCACAGGAGACACTGTTCAGGTTTTGAAATGTCGTGAGAGGTTGTCCAGGAACCTGCTTGGGGTGGTGAGTGGCTGACAGCTGGGGTTCCCCGGTCCCACCTGCCCCATGGGGCTCCTGGGGTGTTTCAACTGGCTCTGCCCCTTCCTCGCCTGCCTGTAGCTTGCCCTGTGTGCGTACGGACACGTACACGTGTGAGTGCTTTTCTGTGCTCTGCGCTCTCGTGTGCGTCTGTTGCTTCCCTTCTGATGGTCAGCGTTGGGAGGGGCGGAAGAGGGGTCCTTGGGGCCAAGTGGATGGTCAGCAATGAGCTATGGTCGGGGAAGGCTAGCCGGCTCTGGCTGCTGTGCTCCCACGTGAGTCCATATGGAAAGAAAGCATCCTAGAGCTCCTTGGAGTGGCCTCTGTTGCTCTGCACTGGGAGAGTCCCCGCTTCTGGGACAGGGTCTGGGGTCCCAATCCCATCTGCGAGGCACCGTCTGCCGGTTGGCCGGCACACCTTTCCACAGCCTGCCCTCGCAGTGGTGCCTCTCCACTTTGGGCTTCCTCGTCCTGCTCTGGCATCTTCTTTGTCCACGCAGGTGAATGTCTGGCAGGAGGACTGGGTCACCTTCTACGCCCGGCAGCGCATTCAGCCCCAGATGGACATGGTGGAGAAGGGGTCTGGGGACAGGGAGGCCCTGGAGCTCTGGTCTGCCCTGCAGGTGAGGGGAGCCTTGCCCTGCAAACCCGACAGGGGTGGCCCTGAGGCAGGTGGGGTGAGGCTGGCCGGTGCCTGAGCTCTGTGTGTGTCCGTGTGCGTCTGCGCCGCGCTTTGCTTGGCGGTTGAACCACACTCAGAAACGCATCTGCGTCCCTCCGACACGTGTTGGTCTCTTTGCTGAGGACGAATTTCCTCCGCAGCTAAAGATCCCTGACCTGTTTCGTGACCTGGACATCGTCCCAGCCCTGCTGCATGGAGATCTTTGGGGAGGAAACGTGGCGGAGGACTCCTCTGGGCCCATCATTTTTGATCCGGCTTCTTTCTATGGCCACTCAGAATACGAGCTGGCGATAGCTGGCATGTTTGGGGGCTTCAGCCGCTCCTTCTACTCTGCCTACCACGGTGCAATCCCCAAGGCCCCAGGGTTTGAGGCGCGCCTGCAGTTGTATCAACTCTTCCACTATTTGAACCACTGGAACCACTTCGGATCAGGGTATAGAGGGTCCTCCTTGAGTATCATGAGGAATCTCATCAAATGAGATTGATTCAGGTCCTAGCCACACACCTGTGGCCGGCGCCTCCTGTCCCCACAGCCCTCTTCCTCAGGCCTTCCTCCCCAAATCTTCAGACTAACTTCCCAAGCCTTGTAGAGTACGAGGGAGAAAGGTTTTGTCCTCTGGAGGTTGTACATTCCGTTAGACTTCATTGCTGGATGAAACCTCACCGGAAATTCGCTGTGACCAGAGGGACCCGTGGAGCATGGGCTGAGTTGAAAACACTGCTGTCCTGAAGGCTGAGAAAGACAGCGGCCAGGCGTGCCAGGCGCTGCTGAGGACCCTTCCCCGGCTCCTTCTGTCTCAGCTCCAGGAATGACTCTGATGTTCTGGAAGATGCTTCTCGAAGAGTTAGACTTGGGTGTAGACATGAAACCCTACTGAGGACGTCTTCTAACAACCAGTTTCAAAGCTAGCACATTCACCTTCTTTCTGTGCCACCTCTGCGCCCTGCCACAGGCTGACAGGTCTGGAAGCTGATTCTGGGAGGGACCAAGCCTGCTGGTCTTAGGTAATTTAGGAACCTTTGAATCGCCTGTGATAGCACCCCATCATGTCTGCGTTTTAAAGTGTGTAGGGTTGTTTGTTTGCATAAGAAAGTGCTAAACCAGTGGTTCTTCCTTCCTCAGTCTTTCAGTGATGGGAAATATTCATGAATGATATGGATGCCAATAAATCCTTTTGCATAAAAATTTGAATAAACTTTCAGTGGTTTCCTTTATTTGCATTGTAAGTCAGTGTTTGTCTTAGCTGTTTACCAAGAAACCTTTGTAATGTGATTATAAATAGGCACAACTGTTTTTGTTTTTTTTTTTT